GTGTGTGTGTGTGTGTGTGTGTGTGCTTGTTTTTCCTACATCGTGGGGCCCAGTTTCAAGGAAAATGCAGCCTCGTGGGGTCCGGGTGCTCCTTGTGGGGCCCAAAGCCTGGGCCCCCCAACTTCAGAGGCTGAGTTTGGGTGTGGGGGTTGGGTTTAGGACCAAGGTGTGAAATGAGTTTAGGTTAGTTTTAGGGTCAGGTAAGGTACCTGTGAGGTTAGCCTTAGGGTTTGTGGTCAGGGTTCGGATATAAAATTACCAAAAAATGAATGGAAGTCAATGGACGGGCCCCACAAGGATATAAAAACAAGTGTGTGTGTGTGTGTTGTAGTTGTGGAATCTGAAGGCGATTAGTTCCAGCTTCTTCCTACAGACCACTTTTTAAAAGTTTTATTTTGACGAAGCCAAACAACACGCGCTCTGTAAAAACACGTTTTATTTTGGTGACACTGCGTTTCCTGTTTGTGCTAAAAACAGCATTCTGGCCACGCTTCAGGGGTGAAAATATCTGGCCTCCGTATGTGTGCGCCTGCGAGTGTGCTGGGGAATTTCCTGTGTGGAAGGTTAAAAGAAAGATTGATTGGTCAGGAAGGCTAGGGGCTCGTCCGACGGAGACCCGCCATTGGCTCCTTGCTGCTCTGGTATGACGCTTTAGTCCAGGCCTCTTCACCTCCTCCCCTCCTCCTCCTCCTCTTTCTGTCTCTCTCTCCCTTCATCCTTCCCTCTCTCTCCTCCCCTCTATCTCCTCACCTCACATTCCATCTCTCCAGTGCACTTTTTTTTCTTCAGAAACGCAGATCAAGCAAGAAAGCACAAAGCAATCCTTTGACTCTAAAAATACAACTCAGTAGAAGGAAAGCCTCACTGAGGACAAAGAAAGACCCAGATAAGAAAAAAGAGAGAGAGAGGAGAGAGACGAAATTAATAAAGCTTCAAAGGGAGTCACTGCAAAAAGTGGAGGCATAGCCGAGCAAGTCTCTTGCTTTTCTTTTGTCTCTCTTCTCCTCTTTTCTTTCCCTTCAGCAAATTATTTGGATGGGAACAAGTGTCATAAGTAGAACATGGAAAATTTATAATTCGCAACCGCCACACATCTTCACCTGCAATGTACAGGCCGTGCTCAAGTCCACAGCTTCACCTTTACACACACAAGGAGGGGATAGTGGAAAACACACGATGTGGACAAATAAGCAGGGACGCAGCAGAGGGTTGATCCTTTAAAACTCACGTCACATCTAAAGGTTTGCATTGTTATACTTATTTAAACAGAAAAGTTAAAAAGCACTGATGCTATTTTTGCAAAACAAACAAAAAGAATAATATTCTGCTCAGACGTGTATTCTCACCAAGGCTGAGGATGGGGTGGTGCTCCACCAGCGTCCAGGTGTTGTCGTCCACACAGTGGCTCTTGTAGACCAGCAGCTGACACACATCCCTCGCCGTCATGTCTGCGGGGATCTCCACCACCTTCCCGGCTCCATCTTCGCTCCACACCTTCACTATCTGAGGACACACACGGGACGGATGGGGTTACGATGAGCGGAGGTCGTGTTTTTTCCCTCCCGCCACCACCGGCGGGGCGGCGTGTCCCGAGCCGCTCCCAGGAATTTTAATACGGAGAGAAATAAAAACAAATAAAACCGCCTACATTTACCTCCATGACCAGATGCCAAGAAGTCCACTCTAAAGAGGTCCTGTTCACATCATTCTGTCACTTAAACATGAAAGATGTTTAAAAAAAATTAAAAAAAACACGAACGATGACGTCCAGGAAACGCTGGCCTGCCCTCCAGTTCAGCCCTTTTGTCCAAACTTACTCCAACGCACTCCTGAGATCACACATCTGACCCCATAACCACGCCGCCCTCCGTCACATCCACGTTTGGAAAAGTTGAGGGTAAAAACATAAAACAAAATAAGGCATCTGAAAACACCACGGTGCGTTTAGACGTGTTGCTTTTTGCCATTAAAAAAAACGTCACCGCTGGGAGCAGCGAGCAGAGTACCTCCCATTGTTGCGCCATTTTGAACCATTCCAGCCAAGTGCCCAAAGCGACATTTAAACCGAGTGTAATCTTGCCCTCACCGAGTGTTGCTGCGCAGATAACCACAGACCAGCTGCTTTACGCCGCCGCACCAGAAAACTCTCGCACCACAGAAGACTCGCTGTCACAGAAACCCAAGTAAAACATTTTTAAAAAAGGCCTGCGAAGCGTAGGGGCGACTCAAAGCATCTACAAAACATGAGACAGAAATGGGACAAGTGTGTATGCTTGTGTGTACACTCTCACACACCCCCGTCCAAACATTTTCTGTCCTCAGCAGGGATCCCTTGCACAGAAAACCCACCGGGGAGCAACTGCAGAAAATTACATGAAACAAGACACAAAACTGGTGATGACCGAGAGGCTGGAGAGCAGGAGGGGAGGTGGGGTGGGGGAATGGAAAAATTAAATCGTACAATGGCGCCGCAAAGTAAAAATATGCACCCAAACATGCACGGGAATCAAAACACACACAAAAAAGAAAAGAACGACGCTATCTTGGAAAAGAAACGTAAAAGCTCTAAAACGGCGACTCAGAAGACTCCCGGTGAAACCAGAAACAACGTCACTGCACTTTTTTTCTTTTTTGCCCCTGCAAAGCCTGAAGAACTGCCTCCTCTCTTCCCACATGCCCCCAGGAAGAGAGGGGGGGAAAGTTAATCTATGACGCATTAGTTTTGTTTGAGAAAAGTTTCAGCAAAAACTTAAAGGAAAAGGTCCTCATCCCTCCAAACTGACAACCCAGACGCCCACAGATAAGAACACACACACACACACACAGACAGACACACACACACACAGACAGACACACACACACACGTCTCATGACAGACATCCGGTAAAGGAACGAACGCACACACAGGTTCCTTACCTCCACAGCCTGTAAGAGGCAACAGTCTGGAGAGCAGGATGGCATTTTCACACTGAGACGCTCTCCAGTGACACAGAGGGACGGAGAGGGAGGGAGGGAGGGAGGGAGGGAGGAAATAGAGCAGGAGGAGAGGAAGTCAGAAAGAGAGAGAGAGAGCGTGTGTGGACGGGGGGAGGAAAGGAAGGACAGACTGGCGAGGCGAATGTAAGAGAGGTAGCAGGGGAAATGAGGGGGGTGGGAGATAAGGAAGTGACAGAGGAAGGACGAAAGCGAAGGAGAGAGGAAGCGAAGGAGAGGCAGCCTGCCCCGTCGTCTTCTCATGCTGGGCAGCGAGGAAAAAAAAAAGCTCTGAGCTGCGAGGAGCGGCATGAGCAGTCTCTCCTCCTCCTCTTCACTCTGGATTAACACGGTGAGAGATTTTTAAACGGGGAGCTGCTACCTGTCACGTACTCTACCTTCAGGCTTGTGTTTCATCTACCTGATCCACCGAACGCACACTCCTACTTCTACGTGGGGAAAAAAAGACAAATCTGTCAGATCCTTTTACTGACGGCGCCACACCATCTTTCCCACCCCTCTTAAAACACGCCCACAACTCCTCAAACACACATCCAGACAGCCAACAAGCTGAAACTCCTGAGCCAATCACAGGCCAGAGTTAGCCATCCCTTATTCTTCTGCATCTTCTGACATTTCCTTTGAGCTGCCCTGACGGTTTCAATTTCGGTTCCCTCCCTCCCACTTATCCTCCTCCTCTTCCTCCACCTCAGCTGCATGTGAAATACTGGGCAGGGGTGTTAGGACCATAGCAACATGTGTAATGCACTCCAACTGCTTGGACAGCGAAAAGAAAAGAAAAAAATGAATAAAACAAACAGAAAGACTGATTGGATCTGGAGCTGTACGCCACGTTTAGGGGGGGAGTCTGCTGAGGGGCGGGGGGCAGGGGGCGTCAAGGAAGAGCTATGGAGGGAGAGTGAGATTAAAATAAAGAAGGGAGGAAAGTAATGAGGAATGGAGAAAAAGAAAAGATCTATAGAGGAATGTCAGTAATGCAATCCTGAGTCATAATCAGGCTCATGTGTAGCACAGGCCAACCCAGCTGGCCCCTAATAGTGCACGTGAGAGCGGCGAGGCACACACACACACACACACACACGTTCTCCAAAAGAAAGATAAAATGTAAACTATTAAGACCATCTGCAGCAGTTTTTTTTTCTTCTTTTTTGTCTGTATTGTTCGTCTTTTCCTTCAGCCTCACACCACAGCTCAGGAGACATCTGAGCAGGCCTAACTATGTGTGTGTGTGTGTGTGTGTGTGTGTGTGTGTGTGTGTGTGTGTGTGTGTGTGTGTGTGTGTGTGTGTGTAAGAGATTTACATGTACGTGCATGAGATGAGCATGTGTAGGAAGCGACAACAAGCGTACTTTGTGCGTCATTCCTAGGCCAATTCTTCATCCTCCATCTGTTTGATTTCCTTTTTCTCTTCTTTTTGTCTCGATTGGTTCATGTACTTCTGTACCTGCGCTGATTCCTCTCCCCCTTTAAGACGTTGGTGGTTTTGAAACCCTGGCCCATAATTCTACCGAAGCCGTCTTTAGACGGCAAAATGTAACTCACCTTCACTTTACCCTTCCCCCACTTGCCTCTGTTCTATTTCAATAAAAGGAGGGTGAGGGGTAAAAATGTACAGCGTTGTTTGTTTTCTGTGTTGCTTTTAGCAGCGTGCACAAATGCGCACACACACATACACACACACACACACACGTTTGTTCTTATATCCTCATGGTGACTTTAATTTACCGGTCATTTCTAGAGCCTAACCTGACCCCTTTATCCTAAACCTAACCTCACAGGTGACCCTAAACCAGGGTTCTGCAGCCTTTATGATCAAAAGAGCCATTTGTGCTACTTGTCTTATGAATAAAATGTGTTCAAAGCCGCAAAACAATCTACAACTGTGATTATCAACTGGTGGTCGGTGGGCCTTTTTGAGGCCTTTTCAGGAACCTTTATGGCCAGTGGAGGTGAC